GGATTTCACAGATATTACAGAACTTTACATCCAAACGCAACTGAATGCACATTCTTCTGAAGTGCATATGGAACTTTCTCCAGAATAGACCACATACTGGGTCACAAATCAGGTCTAAACCTATACCAAGTATTGGGATGGTACCCTGCATATTTTCAGACCATAATGCTTTGAAAGTAGAACTCAAATCGGAAGAAGTAGTTTGGAAGAATTTCAAACACGTGGAGGTTAAGGACCATCCTGCTCAAAGACGAAAGGGTAGACCAGGAAATTAGGGAAGAATTAAAAAGATTCATGGAAACTAATGAGAATGAAGATACAACTGTTCAAAATCTGTGGCATACAGCAAAAGCAGTCCTGAGGGAGAAATACATCACAATACAAGCATCCATCCAAAAACTGGAAAGAACTCAAATACAAAAGCTAACTCGCACCTAAAGGAGCTGGAAAAAAAAACAGCAAATAGATCCTACACCCAGCAGAAGAAGAGTTAATAAAGATTTGAGCAGAACTCAATGAAATAGAGACCAGAAGAACTGTGGAACAGATTAACAAAACCAGCAGTTGGTTCTTTGAAAGAATTAATAAGATAGATAAACCATTAGCCAGAATTATTAAAAGGAAGACAGAAAAGACTCAAATTAATAAAATCATGAATGAGAAAGGAGAGATCACCACCAATACCAAGGAAATACAAACAATCTTAAAAACTTATTATGAGCAGCTATACGCCAATAAATAAGGCAATCTAGAAGAAATGGACACATTTCTGGAAAACCACAAACTACCAAAACTGGAACTAGAAGAAATAGAAAATCTGAAGAGGCCAATAACCAGGGAGGAAATTGAAGCAGTCATCAAAAACCTCCCAAGACACAAAAGTCCAGGGCCAGATGGCTTCCCAGGGGAATTCTTTCAAACGTTTAAAGAAGAAATCATACCTATTCTACTAAAGCTGTTCAGAAAGATAGAAAGAGATGGAGTACTTCCAAACTGGTTCTATGAGGCCAGCATCACCTTAATTCCAAAACCAGACAGAGACCCCACCAAAAAGGAGAATTATAGACCAATATCCCTGATGAACACAGATGCAAAAATTCTCAACAAACACTAGCCAATAGGATCCAACAGTACATTAAGAAGATTATTCATCATGCCCATGTGGGAAATATCCCCGGGATGCAAGGCTCGTTCAACAGTCGTAAAGCAATCAATGTGATTGATCATATCAGCAAGAGAAAAAACAAGAACCATATGATCTTCTCAATAGATGCAGAGAAAGCTTTTGACAAAAGACAGCATCCATTCCTGATTAAAACTCTTCAGAGTGGAGGGATAGAGGGAACATTCCTCAGCATCTTAAAAGCCATCTACGAAAAGCCCACATCAAATATCATTCTCAATGGGGAAGCACTGGGAGCCTTTCCCCTAGATCAGGAACAAGACAGGGATGTCTACTCTCACCACTGCTATTCAACATAGTACTAGAAACCCTAGCCTCAGCAATCAGGCAACAAAAAGAAATAAAAGGCATTCAAATTGGCAAAGAAGAAGTCAAAGTCTACCTCTTTGCAGATGACATGATACTATACTTAGAAAACTCAAAAGTCTCCACCCCAAGATTGCTAGAACTCATGCAGCAATTCAGCAGTGTGGCAGGATACAAAATCAATGCCCAGAAGTCAGTAGCTTTTCTATACACTAAGAATGAGACTGAAGGAACAGAAATTATGGAGTCAATCCCATTTACAATTGCACCGAAAAGCATAAGAACGCCAGGAATAATCCTAACCAAAGAAGTAAAGGATCTATACCCTAAAAACTACAGAACATTTCTGAAAGAAATTGAGGAAGACACAAAGAGATGGAAAAATATTCCATGCTCATGGATTGGAAGAATTAATATTGTGAAAATGTTTATGCTACCCAGGGCAATTTACTCATTTAATGCAATTCCTATCAAAATACCATGGACTTTCTTCAGAGAGTTGGAACAAATCGCCTTAAGATTTGTGTGGAATCAGAAAAGACCCTGAATAGCCAGGGGAATATTTAAAAAGAAAACCAGAGCTGTGGGCATCACAGTGCCAGATTTCTTGTGGTACTACAAAGCTGTGGTCATGAAGACAGTGTGTTACAGGCACAAAATCAGACACATTGATCAATGGAGCACAATAGAGAATACAGAAGTGGATCCTCAACTTTATGGTCAACTAGTATTTGACAAAGCAGGAAATACTATCCACTGGAAATAGGGCAGTCTCTTCAATAAATGGTGCTGGGAAAACTGGACAGCCACGTGTAGAAGAATGAAACTAGACTATTGTCTTACACCATATACAAAGATAAACTCAAAATGGATGAAAGATCTAAATGTGAGACAAGATTCCATCAAAATCCTAGAGGAGAGCACAGGCAACACCCTTTTTGAGCTTGGCCACAGTAACTTCTTGCAAGATACATCCATGAAGGCAAGAGAAATAAAGGCAAAAATGAATTATTGGGACTTCATCAAGATAAAAAGCCTCTGCACAGCAGAAGTAACAGTCAAAACTCAAAGACAACCTACAGAATTCAGAAGATATTTGCAAATGACGTATCAGATAAAGGGCTAGTTTCGAAGATCTATAAAGAACTTACTAAACTCAACGGCTAAGAAAGAAACAATCCAATCATGAAATGGGCAAAATACATGAACAGAAATCTCACAGAGGGAGACATAGACATGGCCAACACACATATGAGAAAATGCTCTGCATCACTTGCCATCAGGGAAATACAAATCAAAACCACAATGAGATACCACCTCACACCAGTGAGAATGGGGAAAATTAACAAGGCAGGAAACCACAAATGTTGGAGAGGATGCGGAGAAAGGGGAACCCTCTTGCACTGTTGGTGGGAATGTGAACTGGTGCAGCCACTCTGGAAAACTGTGTGGAGATTCCTCACAGAGTTAAAAATAGATCTGCCCTATGACCCAGCAATTGCACTGCTGGGGATTTATCCAAAAGATACAGATGCAGTGAAGCACCGGGACACCTGCACCCCAATGTTTATAGCAGCAATGTCCACAATAGTCAAACTGTGGAAGGAGCCTCGGTGTCCATCAAAAGATGAATGGATAAAGAAGATGTGGTATATGTATGCAATGGAGTATTACTCAGCCATTAGAGACGTCAAATACCCACTATTTCCTTCGATGTGGAAGGACCTGGCAGGTATTATGCTGAGTGAAATAACCCAATCAGAAAAGGACAAACATTACATGGTCTCATTCATTTGGGGAATATAAAAATTAGTTAAAGGGAATAAAGGGAAAGGAGAGAAAATGAGTGAAAATATCAGTGAGGGTGACAAAACCTGAGAGTCACCTAACTCTGGGAAATGAACAAGGGGTAGTGGAAGGGCAAGTGAGCGGGAGGTTGGGGATACTGGGTGATGGGCAACAAGGGGGGCACTTGGCTGGATGAGTCCTGTATGTCATGCTATATGCTGGCAAATTGAACTCCAATAAAAAAATTAAAATTAGAATTAAAATAACATCTGGAAAAACTGAGACCCAGAGACAGGAAGGGACCAACTAGCCTAGAGACAACATAATGTAGTGGCAAGAGTGAGTATACATACTTTCTGGAGCCACAGAATTGGGTCTGTGTTATGGATATCAATATAATGAGCTGGATGATCTTAGCTGATCATTTGACATCTCTCTACCTTGCGCTATAAAATGAGAGTAAGAGTATCTACCTCCCAGTATTCTTGTGTGTCTCAGAAGAGATAGAGTGAAAGTATATAGCACAATGTCTGATGCATATAGGTGCTAATATATTTTTTAGAGAGGAGGAGAGGGGTGGCAGAGGGAGAGAGAGAATCTCAAACAGACTCACAACACGGGACCCAGTCTTACAGCCCTGAGAACATGATCTGAGCCAAAATTAAGAGTCAGATGCTCAACTGACTGAGCCACCCAGGCACCCCTATAGGTGCTAATTTTAATTCTCCTGAGTCTTAGACCACTGATTTTTATCCCTATCTTCATATAGATTCTGGAACACACAGCCCTGTGTCCAGGGCTTTGGTGTGGTTTGCCTCCTGTTCCATGAATTTTGTGCACACCTACATTAGTTTCCTCCACTAACCATAAGCTCCTTGAGAACAGGGGCCAAGTCTGGCTTGGCATATCACATACATCCCCACATATCTGTGACCTAGCAGAGTTACTGTGAAAAGGAGGCCTTGGTAACTCTGTAGAATTGAATTAGCTAGTCAGATATGTTCGTACTTTTTTTGTCTGAGTATGTAGCAAGGAGAGGAAGTAGTCTCAGGCTATGAATTACAGACCAAAGAATCATGTAGTTGTGAAGTTTCCTATTTAATCAATATATTTTAGTGAACTGAGAGGAGAAGAAAAAATTCAAGAGAGTGAATATATTCTCTTTTTCTCCCTCAATCATTATCTCCTTCTTGCTCTCCCTTGTCCCCTTTTTTACTCATTTGGGAAGCTGAGAGACTTCTATTATTTGCTTGGGTTTACTCTTCAGGTATAAAAAAGGGACTAAGAGATGAGATCTGGGATGAAGGACTGATACAGAAAGAGAAAAATCATAGAGAAAAGTGAGGAAGGGAGAGAGAGAGAGAGAGAGAGAGAGAGAGAGAGAGAGAGAGAATGAGAATGAGAATGAATATAAGAATGAACCTCATAGAACCAGAATGAGCCTTGGTGCTTGTAGGAGGCTAAAGAGAAGCTAGCATAGAGACTATAGCAGTCCTGGGTGGTAGGGTTCATTTGGCCTGAGAGTAAACAAGACCATGAGTCTTTCCAGCTCACAGAGCCTTTTAAGGATTCCCAGGAGTCCTTCTCTCTATCCTTCTTTCCCCACCTGGCCTTTTCTGTACTCCTCCTGCCCCAGTATATACCCAGCTTTAGGTGCTTCCAGGCAGGTGACACGGCAATCCCTCCTGCCTGGCTGCCTCTCACTATCACATGTTCTTCCCAGGGTGAGGACATCCTAGACAGGAGCTCGGAGCTGATCTACACTGGGGAAATGGCCTGGATCTACCAGCCCTATGGCCGCAACCAGCAGCGGGTCTTCTTCCTGTTTGACCACCAGATGGTCCTCTGCAAGAAGGTAACCCCAAACTCTTCTTTCCTGAGGGAGATGGGTACCTCAGGAACATCAGCCCCTCCCTCTCCATCATTCCCAATTCCCAATGAGGTAGTTATTATAGTAGATGGGAAAAGATGCCAGTGGCTTCTAATTTTGTGATCCATTCTTAAACTTTTGCTGATTTCCCTCTTTGTCAATTTTCTTTTAAAAAAAATCTAGAATAAGACTCTTTGTTCTCTTTCTTCTTGTCTCCCACGAAGGCTGTCTCTACTATGCATCTCATTGCCCTGTTATTTTAGTTATGTATGTGTTTTGTTATTTTCTTCCTGAGATGATTACACTGGAAATTATTTTGCTGCTTTGGAAAATTTTTCCTTTTTTTTCCTTTCCTTTTTTTCTGAGGAAGAGTGGAGATCCCCTTTCCTCTCTCCTCAGTCACCCACTAATGTTCCTACAGCTCTGAAGCTGTCCCAAACAGCTTTTTCCCTGTATCCTTTGTTTTTAATTATACCAGTCTAGACATACTCTGTTGTCCTATGTGTCACAACTACTAGTTATTTATGTTGGTTTAATTGTATTCTGGGAGGATCAGGAACTAAATAGAGTATAATAATGCTGGAGAGAAAACTTCTCCTATTCCAGGAACTTTGGGCTTTTATGCCATTTTTTCTTGCATTAATGACCCAGACTTCGAGGATGTACCATTTGGGACTCAGAAATGCAACAATAGCAACAGAGATTGGGGATGGAGCAGAAAAGAGATGGGGATTTGAAACCAGAACACCTGAGTCCTAGACTCTACTCTCTCTAACCTTGAACCAGTTTTTTTAAGGTCAAGGTCATGTCCTTATTTTCCTAAGTACCAAATCAGGCTGATGATAGAATTCATCTCTGGAGGCTTTGAGGAGGAATACCTGAGGTAGTGGGAAACAGTGAAGTATAGTGTTAAGAGCATGGCTTCTAGGGCCAGACAAAAGGCCACCAATTACCTTTTTTTCCATGAGCTATGTGACCGTGGGGAAATTTTCTGTGTCTAATATCATCTCATTTGCAAAATGGAAATCATAATGGTATCTACATAGAAGAGAGGTTGTGAGAGTTAAATGAAACAATACAGTTGCAGTGCCTGGCACACAGTAAGTACTTAGTAAACGTTAGCAATGGATTTTATTGCTGTATATTTGGTGTTACTATTCATTCATTCAGCAAATCTTTATTGGGAGACAGTATATACAGTGGTTAAACAAGCACAGATTTTAGAGCCAGATAGTCTGGATTCAAAGCCCAACTCAACCATTTGGTAGCTTTTGTTCCTGAGTAAGATTCTTAACTGTTTTATGTCTATAATTCCTCATAAAATGGGATTATAATAGTACCTACCTTGTAGGATTGTTGGGAAGATTATTTAAGTTAATAAATGCAAAGCATTTAGCTGCCAAGGGATGAATGCATAAAGAAAATGTGACACACAACACATACACTCATGCACACACAGACATACACACACTGAGGAATATTATTCAGCCTTAAAAAAAGAGTAGCTCCTGTCATTTGTGACAATATGGATGAACCTGGAGGACATTATGCTAAATAAAATAAAATAGAGAAAGGCAAATACCATATGATTTCACTTTCTTGTGGAATCTAAATCAGTTGAAGTCATAAAGGCAAAGAATAGAATGGTGGTTTCCAAGGACTGGTGGGGATTTGGGGAAATGGAGACATACTGGTTAAAGGGTGAAAACTTTTCATTATGCAAAATAAGTAAGTTTTGGAGAGCAAATGCACAATATGATGCCAATAGCTAACAATACTGTATTGTATACTTGAAATTTGCTAAGAAATTAGAACTTAAGTGTTCTCATCACAAAAATAAGTAACCGTGTGAGATGATATATATGTTAATTATCTTGATTGTGGTGATGATTTCACAATGTATACATATATCAAATATCACATTATATGCTTTAAATATATATAATCTTTATTTGTCAATTATACCTCAGTAAAGCTGGGTGGGCGGAAATCCAAAGCATTTGGAATAGTGCCTAGCATATGATAAATGCTAAGAGTCAATTGTTGCCATTGTTGTTGCTGTTATTATTTTTTTGTTTATTTTATTCATGAGGGACACAGAGAGAAGGTAGAGACATAGGCAGAGGGAGAAGCAGGCTCCCTGCAGGGAGCCCAATGCTGGATTCGATCCCGGAACCCAGGGATCACGCCCTGAGCCGAAGGCAGATGCTCAACTGCTGAGCCACCCAGACGTCCTCTTATTATTTTGTTATTATGAAGGTACTCTAGATGCTGGAATGCAATAATGAGAAACATAAGCCCAGTCCTAGCCCCATGTGCCTTTCTCAGGCTCTGTAGAGAAAACTCATGGTGCTCAAGGCTAGGAGTGGGCAGTAACTAGGGTGCCTCTTTAAAGAGGAAAGACTTTAAAGGGGATCCCTGGGTGGCTCAGCGGTTTGGCTCCTGCCTTTGGCCCAGGGCACGATCCTGGAGTCCCGGGATCGAGTCCCGCGTCGGGCTCCCGGCATGGAGCCTGCTTCTCCCTCCTCCTGTGTCTCTGCCTCTCTTTCTCTCTATGTCTATCATAAATAAATAAACAAATCTTTAAAAAAAAATAAAGAGGAAAGACTTTACTGACTAGGGAGTGAGACAGGCTGCAGTCCTTAAGAGTTACATTCCCCCAGATTGCAGCATCTGTCATTTATACAGAATGTTTTACAGTGTCTTAATAACTGACTCTCATGTTCTGTCACCTTCTCTGATATTTCCCACTCATTTTCTCTCCTTTCCCCTTTAACATGACAGACTCCTAACTCTGGGAAATGAATAAGGAGTAGTGGAAGGGTAGGTGGGTGGGGGGATGGGGTGACGGGGTGACTGGGTGACGGGCACTGAGGGGTCACTTGATGGGATGAGCACTGGGTGTTATACTATATGTTGGCAAATCGAACTCCAATAAAAAAAATAAAAATATTAATAAACCCCATGACTACCCAGTAAGGCCAAATTCAATTATCTCCCAGATGTTTGAATTATGCAATGTCAGAAACTGGAGTAGGCTCCTTGCTGGATCCCTGGCTAGGCTCAGTGCTTGTCTGCAGACTGCCAGGAACTTTCTGGAGAAGCACTAGTTCCCTTAATATCCTCCAAATTGGGTGGTTGGAAGAAAAAAGAAAGAAGGTTAGCATGCTATTAGAAACTAACCCATGTATGCAGGGAACTTGTGATGACCCAAATAGCATCTGTGGTGAGTACCTATTCACCGTGTCCCTATGAAAGCACTTAGACCACCATTACCAAGTGGCATTTGGGCAGCTTGGTCCCAAAAGGACCTCAGGCAACCAGGGCTGTAGAGGACTTTGTCCCCTTGCCATGTGCAGAAGCTGAGCAGAGAAACTTCTGAGGCTTTGCCAGCTGTCTTTCCTTGGACAGCCCCTGAGTAAGGCAGGAGCAAGGAAGGTGCACTACTGGGCACAGCTTCAGTAGACTGAAGATAGACTATAAACTGTGAAACAGAACTAATGTAACTCAGCAGTGTGGTGACTGAGTTTAAATTGGGTAATGGTCTTCATTATCAGTGCTAGCATTCAGAAAAGGGAAACTGCAATGACTTGAGGTAGAAGATGCAGTCAGGAAAGACTTCTTTGAGGAGGAAGAATGTGTAAATTTGACTTTGAAGGCTAGAATGATTGGAATAGAAAGCATTGTTGGGGCAGAGAGAACATATTAGTGTGAGCCTAAGTATAGATGTGTGACCGCTGCCTCCCTGAAAAGGTATATGGAATTTCCAAGGACATAGAACTAGCTATGTAAATTTTAAAATATTCAGTTACTTTTGCTTTGATTTATTTTTGTCACAATATTTAACTTATTTTGAAAGTTTAAATGTACTAAAGGAGGCAGTGAGATTTTTAGGTTCATTAAAGGAGTTTTAAAAGCCTACAAAAAATTAGTCTGGGACCAAGAAAGCTCAGCACCACATTTATCAGATAAGGCTGGCCTCATGACTTGGAAACTGCATGTTTAGATTTGAGCTTTACAACCATTTTACAAGGTAAGGATTACTTGTCTAGTTTCATAGTCGAGAAAATTGGGGTTCAGAGAGATAAAATGGCTCGCCCAAGACCACAGCTGGTAGGAGTTTGTATAACTCACACTCTTTCTGTGCATGTTGCATGCTGCTTTGTGGCCTTAGCTACCATTTCTGATGGGGTTTTTTGAACAGTAGGTCATTCTTAATCATTCCTATTCTATCACATCCCTAAACTTGGCTTTATAACCAATCTGGTACCTGAAAACTCACATTCAACCCTCTGGAGAGCTAGAAAGAGTAGGCAAAGGGAGAACCTTAATGATATATTTCTCTAGTCCTGTTCCCCTACCACAGAGGCAGAATTCTCTCAAGTTTCTTGTTATCCTTAAATATCTAAAGAAACAATAGGAGTTTCAGTTGATGCTTTTAATTTAGCTCTAAGATCATGTATATCCTTTCCAGTTTTTGGAAACTAGTTAGTACCAGTTTTGAACCTACTGTAGTAGTTTTGAACCTACTGTTCAAAAAGGTTTTGAAGGCTGACAATGATTATAATACACTAACTTAGAGTCAAAAGAAGCTACAGGTAATGCTGGCAGGCTGGGTTCAAGGACCCAAAGGGGGTCCTGCAGGACCATCAAGAGCATTCTTGGCTTCATGAAGGATAGAAATAAAACGTGAGCCTGCAGGAGGTGAAAGCAGAGTTTACTGAAAATACAGAGAGAGCAGATACAGACAGTGTCTGGGAAACTCAGAAAGGAAAGGAGGGAGTCTCATCTTAGTTCAAGGTTGGGGGGCGGGTAAAAAAAGGTCTGGGGGGTTTTACTGAGGATGATAGTCTGTTATATGTGTCCCCATAGTCTTCTAGGTACTAGTTTGAACAAAGATGAGGGCCTAGGTATTATTCCTTGGAACCAGGGGATCTTGGCATTGAGATACGTAGCTACTATTGTGCAGAATATGCACATGATAGCTTTGTCTAGTCATTCTCACCTGATCTCTCCTTAGATGTTACCTATTCTAGAAAAATCATTAAGTCCTGTCCCTTATAAGGAGGACATATGCTGCTTGCATTATAAGACATATGTGTAAGGTGAGGTGGGGGTGCAGTTCCTAGCAAGAATAGAAGCAGGAAAAGAAAAAAAAACAGATTTCTATGGAGCCTTTCTGTTTCTCTGTCTCATAAGCTGAAGCTAGGAACAGTGGGAGGTTAAGGCTGCCTATTCTAGTTAGATAGATGGGCATCCACCTATTAGCTATGTGATCCAGACCTGGCTTCCCAGTTCTCTGTGTATTTGTATTAAGTATTTTAAGTCCAGTTTCAGGCCTTTATGAGATCAAACTAGATCACATCAATCCATTCTCCTTTGCTTGTCCTGATTTTGTAGTTAGACTGACAAGGCCCACTTTTTATGCATATATCTCAAAGTATTCCTGAGGATTGTGGAAGTCAGTGCATGGGAACTACCCCATCCTTTTGGCCAGGATTGAGCTTGTCCATTTCGAGCATGCTAAAAGGAACCTAGGCTCTGAATCAGGCTTGGAGAAACATTGGCCTACTCTATAGAGTTGACCTTTTTCTCTCCTGTGAACTTGATGCCAGGGGCACCCAAAAGATCAGAACCCATCTGTACTCACAACCTACTTATATGCATAATTATTATGGAAGGAAAAGAATAATGTAGAGGTTTAATTCAACAACACCTGTATTTCACAACCTGGAGGTTAGAGATTGATAGAGCAATGTTGGAAATTCTTAAAGACAGCCTTCCCCAGACATACCAAAAAGCTCAGTTTACCAGTGTGAAGAGTTAGGTTTTCTTTTTTTTTTTTTAAATTTTTATTTATTTATGATAGTCACACAGAGAGAGAGAGAGGCAGAGACACAGGCAGAGGGAGAAGCAGGCTCCATGCACCGGGAGCCCGACATGGGATTCGATCCCGGGTCTCCAGGCTCGCGCCCTGGGCCAAAGGCAGGCGCCAAACTGCTGCGCCACCCAGGGATCCCAAGAGTTAGGTTTTCAAAGGCAAATTCTTTGCAAGTAGCCTGCAGCTGAGAACAGACGCATGCAAGGCAATTCAGCAGAATGGGAATAGTTTAACCAAACTGTATAATGTTAATAAAAACTAGTGAACATTTCTGATTCTGTGAAATTATCTAAAAGGCCAAATATAAGAAGAAGGGAGGTAGAGTTGGTCAGAATGAGTTGGCTAGTAGAAGACATCTATTAGGATGCGGCTCATGGGACCTTCTTGGCCAGTCTCAGCCATACCACAGGTCCCAACAGTAGATGTGTGTCATGAGCATGCTATGAAGGTATACACATGAGTTGAATCTTTCCACAATGTCAGCTTTATTCAATCATAAAGCTAAGTTAATCACAATTATAAAGCAGGTTCAGGATTCCAAACTCAATGATATTTTGCCATATGATTAAACTTGGCTTCTTACACAGCACACAGAGCAGGACATAAGACAAACCACATGACAGGGTAACAGAAGAGTATAGGAAGTTAATGAACCAAACTCAAAGTTAGTCTATGGGTATGCAGTTGAGATAAGACCTCAGTCCAATCCAGGTCAGCTCTTAGCACTTACTGCTTATTATGTTCAAGTAGGGAAAGATCTCAGTTCTGTTCATAGATCAATCAGAGCTTTCAGTGGCAGTTGCATTTTTGAAGTGGTCAGACTTATATAGAGGTTATATCTGAGGAGTCTGACAGTTTGCTACCAAAATCCTCCCCCTTTTAAAGGGATTCAATTGGTCTAGAGCCCCTGCATACCTCCTCTGGTTCTGCTTATTATCAGTTCTGGGGTGTCAGCTGATGCTGGTCCCAGCGATATCTCATAATTGCAGTACCTTTAACTTGTGCAATTGCTTGACACAGGCTCCTGCTTGACACGAGAGACTCCACTTTGCTCTCTACGATGTGCTCTCAGGAAGGAGTCGAGGACAGTGCTAAGAGGAGGAGGGACTGGAAGACCACTCTGAGAGATAGCTACCTATCAGACCTTATATTCCACAGGTCCACGGGTCATTTCATCCATCCCTCTGGTTTTCCTTTTTTTTATTTGACGTTCAAAAAGATACAAAAATAATACGGCACATACGTATTTATTATCCAACATAAGAAATAATTCATTACAAATACATTCTTCCTCTTCTCACTCTCTGCTCCTTCCCTTCCTTTTCCTTCCTTCCATTTTCCCATTCTCATCTCTGTATGCTCTTGAATTTGGCATGTGTCATTGTCATATTTTTGGTATAATTTCTGTACATATGTATGCATCCCTAAACACTATGTGGCATTTCTTTGTAGGTTTTTTAAACTCATATAAGTGGAATAGATATAGATGAGATAAAGCTGTATAGAAAAGAAACCAGAGGAGTGATGAGCATGGAATTTAAGGTTGCTGTGGCATCATAGCTTTTATTTTTTTAAATTGTTTAAAATTTTTTATTTTATTTAAATTCAACCAACAGTATAATATTAGTTTCAGAGGTAGAGTTCAGTGATTCATCAGTTGCATATAACACCCAGTGCTGGGATGCCTGGGTGGCTCAGTGATTGAGCATCTGCCTTCAGCTCAGGGCCTGATCCCAGGGTCCTGGGATTGAGTCCCACATTAGGCTCTCTATAGGGAGCCTGCTTTTCCTCCAGCCTATGTCTCTGCCTCTCTCTTTGTGTCTCTCATAAATAAATAAATAAAAATCTTTAAAAAAAACACCCAGTGCTCAATACATCATATGCCCTCCTTAATGCCTATCACCTACTTACCCCATCTTCCCACCCACCTCCCCTCTACCAACCCTCAAATTGTTTCCTATACTTAGTCTTTGATGGTTTGTCTCCCTCTCTGATTTCATCTTATTTGCTTTTTTCCTCCTTTCTTCAATGATCATCTGTTTTGTTTCTTAAATTCCACATGAGTGAAATCATATAATTGTCTTTCTCTGATTGACTTATTTTGCCTAGCATAATACCCTCTGGTTCCATCCACATCATTGCAAATGGTGAAATTTCTTTTTTGATGGCTAATAGTCCATTCTTTATCCATTCAACTGTCCATGGACATCAGGTCTCTTTCCATAGTTTGGCTATTGTGGGCATTACTGCGATAAACATAGGGGTGCATGTGCCCCTTCAGATCACTGTGTTTGTATCCTTTGTGTAATTACCTAGCAGTGCAATTGCTGGGTCATAGGGTAGCTCTATTTTTAACTTTTTGAGGAATTTCCATACTGTATTCCAGAGTAGGTGTACCAGCTTGTGTTCCTACCAGCAGTGTAAGAGTGTTCCCCTTTCTCTTCATCCTCGCCAACATTTGTTGTTTGTTCATTTTAGCCTTCTGACTGGTGTGAAGTGGTATCTCATTGTGGTTTTGATTTGTATTTCTCTGATGCCAAGTGATGTGGAGTATTTTCTCATGTGTCTGTTGGCCATTTTGAATGTCTTCTTTGGAGAAATGTCTGTTCAGCATGATACCTTTTAAATTGGGTGGCAGGTTCACCAAGCTTAATATAGTATTAAAAATAAGTAAGTAAATAAATAGAGAAATAAGAGTACCTTGTGTGGACTAGTGATGAGTGTCTCATGGACTGAGAGTTAGTATTAATCCAATTCTGTATACCAGAGAGTAAAACAGCAATGATAGAAGATAGGCAATATATTGTTTGTATATTGCCTATCTGGCCTATACTATTTGTATATTTGTATATTCAACTACAACTTTTATTTTTCTCATGCAATAAGATTTGTGAGATTCATTCAAGTCAATATATGAAGCATTTTTTTAATTCCTACACCTATTTCTCCTACCAGACTAAGCCTTCTCCAAAGTTCCCTAGAGTGCTAAGTGTTCAGCTCTTTCAATATAACCATTCCTAGCCAGCAGCCTGTGGCCATCTTAATACTCTTACCACTCATCTCCACTCTGATATGTAGGTCTCACTAGCCTGCTTAAATTCCCAAGTACACTCTAGGCAAACACCCAGCTTATTTCATCCTTCTAGAAGTCTTGCAAATATTTTGGAAAAGAAAAGGCCCATGCTAGCAATGATTGTGTGGCTTACTGCTTCCTTTTTCCCATATATGTATCTTACAAACACATATAAAGATTGATGCTGGGGTCTGAGACAGGGTCTTTGGATGTAGGACAAAGACTTTCTCTATGAGCATCTAGTTAACCAACCTATCAATGTCATACTGCTAAGCTAACCTGCCTAAATTTGACCAAACTAACCTCTGTTGGTACTCCAAAACAATGGCAGTCTTAGCGTCTTGCTGAGCCCATGAGCCAACTCTTATGGCACCTACTCTGCACATCTCTACAGTAAAAAAGCCTTTTCTTCCTTCCTACATAGGATCTGATCCGAAGAGACATCCTGTACTACAAAGGCCGCATTGACATGGATAAATATGAGGTAGTTGACATTGAAGATGGCAGAGATGATGATTTTAATGTCAGCATGAAAAATGCCTTCAAGCTTCACAACAAGGAAACTGAGGAGATACATCTATTCTTTGCCAAAAAGCTGGAGGAGAAGATACGCTGGCTCAGAGCTTTCAGAGAAGAGAGGAAAATGGTACAGGAAGATGAAAAAATTGGTAAGTGATCTAAGAGGAGAAAGAAGAATATGGTTATGAAGAACATAGAGGATTTGAATTAGTCTTCATTTTTCTAGAAGCAGAGGGGATATTTCTGGTGCAAACTGACCTAATCCACTTTGGTGGTTTCCTATTATTAGGTCCTTTTCAGCAGATACCAGTAGTCTTTACTAATCAGAGTTAGGTAAGAGTTATAATTTGGCTTCCCTTACAGCCTCATAACTAGATAAGACTATTACACTGGAAACAAACTTTAATATCATTTTTCCTAAACATATAAACATTTATTAACAAACAAACACAAAAGCAATCATACAACCTGTTCTGTAATCTCAGTGAAGTCCTAGTTTTATTCTTAGATACATGGCTGTATCTTCTGTAGAGAGGTTAGTCAAGGAAGAGTTGCTGATATTATAGCAACATAATTCAACTAACTTTCTTGTTAGAGTCTGGTGACAAAATCCTTTAAGGGATAGGACATACCACTTGTTTTCAGTCTTGAGTTTAAGGCTTCCTTCTGAAGGGTAAAGGCTATAGGGCTCATTGGAATTTTATAACCAGGTCTGGTGAGGGCTAAAGAGCATTTAGGACATTTGTGGCTAGTACACATCTTGAATAACATTCATTTTTACCAATGAAAATTCATTTTAAACATGTGTTAGGCTAATTAGGCCTCCTGCATTAAAGTGACTGAACTGCTGGGAGTAGTGGCTTTTGGAGCAAAGACTTCTGAGTGTTTAATGTGTTAACAAATCACCTCTTGAGTGTGTATGCCAGATTAAGGCACTTCATATGTTAACTAAATGTCCCTAGAACATAGATTAAAATTAATGTGCATGTATATATCAACTCTCTGTATGAAAGCATTTAAAAATAAGTTACAGAAAATATAACTGGCTCTAAAACTATGATCATTTGCATGATTCAGAATCACACTAAACCATATTTTTTTTGGCTTTAAAAAGGTTGTTCCCCTTTGCCAGGGGGTATATAACTGGCAGAGAGATTTTTTCATGCTGCTTTCTAACTGGGATTTAGGTGCCATAGACTATAGTTTTGTGGTTTACAAAGTATCATCTGGTCTGTTGCTCACAGTGCTGTCATTCCAGCATAAAAATACCAAACAGCCAGGCTTTGTAATTCCCTGAGAAGACAGAGTTCCTGTTTTTGCTCCACTTGAAATGAGAGTAGTATTTTATATTAAAACATTTGTATGCTCAAGCTGGTAGAAACTGCCTCTAGAGAAGGACAAACAGTGTATGTTCTCACTCATTTGGGGAATATGAATAATAGTGAAGGGGAATATAAGGGAAGGGAGAAGAAATGTGTGGGAGATATCAGAAAGGGACACAGAACATAAAGACTTCTAACTCTGGGAAATGAACTAGGGGTGGCGGAAGGGGAGGAGGGCGGGGGGTGGGGGTGAATGGGTGACGGGCACGGAGGGGGACACGACGGGATGAGCACTGGGTGTTATTCTGTATGTTGGTAAATTGAACACCAATAAAAATTAATTTATATAAAAAAAATAAAAGAAAAGAAAAAAAGAAAGAAACTGCCTCTAGAAAAATGGGCCTACTCATTGAGTCCTAGTGCAAATGGATTCTTCTCTCTTTCAGTGTTGGGGATTTAAATGGTTAAGAGATAAAGAAGAATGATCAAAAAGACACATCTTAGTCTAATGCTAGTCCCTGCCTCAGGTTTGGGGTATAGTGCACATTAATAATTCACTTTGAGTCCCATTGAAGCCAGATTGCTTTTAGCAAAAGGGCACTGCGATGGAACATGGTGTACAGTGGTACAGAAATGCTACTGGGTTGCTTCTCTCAGTGGTAGGCAGAAGCAGCCTCTGATACCACCTAGATTATTAGACCTATTAAAGGAATTGTCTTAGTATGCTTTATGCAGACCCTAGATCAACTAGAAGATCCCCACCATTTTTTTCTGGTTCCAGTATAATATTTCCCACACAATTCCCTAATAACCTGTAACTTTAAGAATCTGCTTCTAATAGAAAAGCTTCCAGAAATTACATTTTTAAAAACATTTTGCTTAGTTTTTTAAAAGATTTTATTTATTTATTCATGAGAGACAGAGGGAGAGAGAGAGAGGCAGAGACACAGGCAGAGGGAGAAGTAGTCTCCATGCAGGGAGCCCAATGCAGGACTCGATCCCGGGACTCCAGTATCACGCCCTGGGCCAAAGGCAGGTGCCAAAACTCTGAGCCACCCAGGCATCCCTGAATTTTGCTTAGTTTTCATTTAAATTCCATTTAGTTAACGTACAGTGCAATATTAATTTCAGGTGTAAAATTGAATTATTTAACACCTATACACAGTGCCTGGTGCTCACTGCAGTAACTGTACTCCTAATCTCCATCACCTATTTAACGCCTCTGCCAGACCACTTCCCCTCTGGTAATAATTGATTTGATCTCTATAATTAGTCTTTTTTGGTTTGCCTCTCTACTTCTTTCCCCTATGATCATTTGTTTCTTAAATTCCACATATGAATGAAATCATATGGTATTTGTCTTTCTCTGACAAACTTATTTTGCTTAGCATAATACTCTCTAGTTCAATCTGTGATGTGGTACACACACACACACACACAGGAATATTACTCAGCCATGAAAAATAATGAAATCTTGCTATTTGCAAGGACATAGATGGATCTATAAAAATACCTTCTGACAGATCTATGTTATCTCTTCTAAAACATTAAGTTTTTTTCTAATTATAATACTTTTTATTATAGGAAATTTGGGGGGGAAACACAGAAAAATTAAAAAGAAAACTAAAAATCACATAGGATTTACTCTACCCAGAGAGAACATTTGTAAATGTTTGATATTTTTCCATCTAAATAAAAAAAACCCTAGGACTAAGGTGGTTGAATCATTCTTTCTGTCTCCTCCATTCTCTACCTCCCTATGATGAACAGTTCTAATATTACATCCTCATTTTGCATGTACAATCATATCATTAGGATTTCCCTAAATCATTCATTTTAAAATTTTTCTCATTGTATTTATTTATTTTTTTAAATTTTTATTTATTTATGATAGTCACACAGAGAGAGATAGAGAGGCAGAGACATAGGCAGAGGGAGAAGCAGGCTCCATGCACCGAGAGCCCAACGTGGGATTCGATCCTAGGTCTCCAGGATCGCGCCCTGGGCCAAAGGCAGGCGCTAAACCGCTGCGCCACCCAGGGATCCCTTCTCATTGTATTTAAATTCAATTAATTAACATATAGTATATGATTAGTTTCAGAGGTAGAATTTAGTGATTCATCAGTTACATATACACCGAGTTCTCATTCCATCAAGTGCCCTCCTTAATGCCCATCCCCCAGTTACCCCATCTCCCCACCCACCTCCCTTCCAGCAACCCTCAGCTTGTTTCTAAGAATCTTTTATGGTTTGTCTCCCTAATTTCATCTCATTTTATGTTTCCTCCCTTCCCTATCCCTAGGTGCATCTGTTTTGTTTCTCACATTCCATATATGAGTGAAATCCTATGGTATTTGTCTTTCTCTGGTTGACTTCTTTACCTTAGCATAATATACTCTAGTTCCATCCACATCATTGCAAATGGTAACATTTCATCCTTTCTGATGGCTGAGTAATATTCCATTATATATACTGCCTCTTCTTTATCCATTCATCTATTGGTGGACATCTTGTCTCTTTCTATAGCTTGGCTATTGTGAACATTGCTGCTATAAACATTGGGGTGCCCCTTTGAATCACTATGTTTATATCTTTTAGATAAATGTGTTGTAGTATAATTGCTGGGTTATAGAGTAGCTCAATTTTTAACTTTTTGAGGAACCTTCATACTGCTTTCCAGAGTGGCTGCATCAGCTTGTGTTCCCACCAGCAGTGAAAGAGTGGTCCCCTTTCTCTGCATCCTTGTCAACACTTGTTGTTTCCTGACTTGTTCGTTTTAGCCATTCTGACTGATATGAGGTGGTACCTCACTGTGGTTTTAACTTGTATTTCCCTGATGCCAAATGATGTGGAACATTTTCTCATGTGTCTGTTGGCCATTTGTATGCCTTCTTTGGAGAAATGTCTGTTCATGTCTTCTGCCCATTTCTTGACTGGATTTTTTGTTTTTTGAGTGTTGAGTTTGATAAGTTCTCTATAGATTTTGAATACTAGCCCATTATCTGATATGGCATTTGCTAATATCTTCTCTCATTCTGTAGGTTCCCTTTTAGTTTTGTTGACTATTTCCTTGGTGTGCAAAAGCTTTTTTTTCTTTTTGCAAAAAATTTTATCTTGATGAAGTCCCAATAATTAAGTTTTGCTCTTGCTTCTCTTGCCTTTGAAGATATGTCTAGCAAGGAGTTGCTGCAGCTGAAGTCAAAGAGGTTGCTGCTGTATTCTTCTCTAGGATTTTGATGGATTCTTGTCTCACATTTAGATCTTTAATCCATTTTGACTTTATTTGTGTGTGTATGGTATAAGAAAAATGGTCCATTTTCATTCTTCTGCATGTGGTTATCCAATTTCCCCTAACCATTTGTTGAAGAGACTATCTTTTTTTCCACTGGATATCCTTTCCTTTTTTGTCAAAGATTAGTTGACCATAGAGTTGAGGGTCCATTTCTGGGTTCTCTATTCTGTTCCATTGATCTGTGTGTCTGTTTTTGTGCCAGTACCATACTGTCTTGATGACTAGAGCTTTGTAATACAGCTTGAAGTCTGGAATTTGTGATTCCACCAGCTTTGGTTTTCTCTTTCAACATTCCTCTGAGGTCTTTTCTGATTCTATACAAATTTTAGGAATATTTGTTACAGCTTTATAAAAATGCTGATGGTGTTTTTATAGAGATTGCATTAAATGTGTAAATTGCTTTGAGTAGCATACACATTTCAACAATATTTGTTCTTCCAATCCATGAACATGGAATATTTTTCCATTTCTTTGTGTCTTTCTCAATTTCTCTCATAAGTGTTCTGTAGTTTTTAGAATACAGACCCTTTACCTCTTTAGTTAGGTTTATTCTTGTGTTTTCTGGTGCAATTGTAAATGGGTTCCATTCCTTAATTACTCTTCTGACAAAAGGAGAATTAAAGCCCAATATCCTTGATCAACATGGATGCAGAAATTCTCACCAAATACTAACAAATATCTAATAGTATTTTAAAAGAATTATTCACCATGACCAAGTAGGATTTATTCCTGGCTTGCAAGGGTGGTTCAACTTCTGCAAATAAACCAATGTGGTATACCACATTAATCAAAGTAAGTACAAGAACCATATGATTCTCTCAATAGATGCTGAAAAAGCATTTGACAAAATACAGCATCCTTTCTTGATTAAAATTCTCTGCAGTGTAAGGATAGAGGGAACATACCTCAATATGATAAAAGCCATATATGAAAGACAGTGAATATCATCCTCAACTAGAGAGCATTTCCTCCAAGGTCAGGAACACAACAGAGATGTCTACTCTAACCACTGCTGTTCAACATAGTGCTGGAAGTCCTAGACAACAAAAAGAGATAAAAGACATCCAAATCAGAAAAATAAGTCAAACTTTCACTCTTCTCAGATGACATGATACTCTATGTTGATCACACAAATGACTGTACCCAAAAATTGCTAGAAGTCATACAGGAATTCATCAAAGTGGATGATATAATGCACAGAAGTCAGTTGCTTCTCTATACCCTAAATCACTTAATATTTTTTAAAAGATTTATTTATTTATTAATGAGAGACACAGAGAGAGAGAGAGGCAGAGACACAGGCAGAGGGAGAAGCAGGTTCCATGCAGGGAGCCTGACATGGGACTTGATCCCGGGTCTCCAGGATCAGGCTCTGGGCTGAAGGTGGCACTAAACCACCGAGCCACCCAGTCCACCCTCACTTAATATGTTTAATCATCATTTTTATGGCTATTATATAAATTTACCATAATTTTTTTCTTTATTTTTACTTTTTAATGATAAAATAAATATATGATTATAATAACCATTTGAACACATACCAAAATATAATAAATTTAGCATTATTTTCCCTTCACTATCACTCCTATGCTATGTGAGATAATTAGTATAGGTGTGGTGTATCTATTTCCATACTTGTGTTCATATAAACCTTTATACAGATAAGACTTTTAAAAAAACTTTTCTACTTACAAAAATTATACCAATCATATTACTTTATAACTCATTTTTAAACTTAATTTATCATAAGTAACTCTTCAGGTGAAGAATATAGTATTTAACTAAAACTCCTTCTATCAGTCAGGATTCAACCAGAGAAGTACAACTCATAGAAGATGTATTAAGAGATTTATTATAAGGAATTGGCTTATGTGATTACAAAATCTGGCTAAGCAACTCCAAAATCTATGGAGCAGACAGGTGGAATGCAAAATCGTGGGCAGGCTCAAACTCTTGAGCACAGTCCAAAGCTGTCATCTATAGGCAGGAAGATCATGAGAAGGATGGGACTCCACGTACATGGGCTAAAGCTGAAGAAGAATTTCTTCTCTTTTGTAGGTAGATCTCAATCCTGTTTTTTTAAGTGGTAGAAACACCATGAACCCTATACGCTTCACACATTTTTAAGTGCATAATATAGTAATATTAACCATAGGCTCAATGTTATAAAGCAGATATATAGAACTTATTCATACCATGTATAAATGGAACTAGAGTTTTGATAGGATTGCTTTGAATTTGTAGATGGCTTTCAGCAGAATGGATATTTTAACAATATTGTCTTCTAGTACAAAAACAAACAAACAAACAAAGCCTAAAGACCAATATCCCCAATGAACGCATATGAAAAAGTCCTTAAGAAAACAGCAACAAACAGAACTCAGCAACACAATACAAGGATCATACACTGTAACTAAGTCCGATTTGTCCCTGGGATGCAAGGATGACTTAACATATGCGAATCAATTAATGTGATACACCACACTAATTGAATGAAAGATAGAAATCACATGATCAGGGGATCCCTGGGTGGCTCAGCAGTTTAGCGCCTGCCTTTGACCCAGGGCGTGATCCTGGAGTTCCAGGATCGAGTCCCACATCGGGCTCCCTGCATAGAGCCTGCTTCTCCCTCTGCCTATGTCTCTGCCCCTCCCCTCTCTCTCTGTGTGTTTCTCATGAATAAATAAAATCTTAAAAAAAAAGAAATCACATGATCATATCTACAGATGCAGAAAAAGGATTTGACATTACTTCTCATTCTTTCATGATAAAAAACTCACAACAAGCTACTATGTATACAAGAAATTTACCTGAATATAATAAAGGCCATATATGAAAGGGCCCACAGCTAACATCATACTCAAGGGAGAAAAACTGAAAGCTTTTTCTCTTATAACAATGACAAGACAAGGATGCCCATTTCACCACTTCTATTCAACATTGTAGTGGAAGGCCAACCAGAGAAAATTAGACAAGAAAAAAATAAAAGCACCCAAATGGGAAAGGAAGAAGTGAAGTTATTTCTGTTTGTAGATGATATCATTTTATATATAGACAACCTTAAAGACTCCACAGAAAATTTTTTTTCTAATAAATGAATTCAGTGAAGTTGAAGAATATGAAATTAACATGCAAAAATCAGTTGTGTTTCTATACACTAACATAAACTATCTGAAAAAGAAATTAAGCAAATAGTCCTAAGTATAATCACATCCAAAAAGGGTGGGGGATGGATTTCTTTATTCTTAGGAATAAACTTAACCAAGGACGTAAAAGACTTGTACACTCAAAAATGTAAAACCTTGCTGAAAGAAATTAAAGAGCACATAAATAAATAGCTTTTGTATTGTTAAAATGTCCATTTTACCCAATGCCAGCTATAGATTCAATGTGGTCTTATCAAAACTCCAATGGAATTTTTTACAGAAATAGAAATAACAATCCTAAAATTCACAAAAGATCCATCATGGGTAAAGATATTTGAGAGACAGGAACAAAGCTAGAGGTATCACACTTCTTGATTCAAAATGTATTACAAAGCTACATTAATTAAAACAGTATATTACTGGCATAAAGATGGGATATAGATGGATGGAATAGGATAGAAAGCCTAGAAATAAACCCACACATATACAGTCAACATATCTTTGACAAGGGTACCAAGAATACAGAATTGGGAAAGGATGGTTTCTTCGATAGATAGTGCTGAGAAAATTGTATATCCATATGCAAAAGAATGAAATTGAATTCCTACTTTATACTGTACATGAAAATAACTCAAAATGTATTAAAGATTTAATTGTATGACCCCAAACTGTAAAACTCCTAGAAGAAAATAGAGGGAAAGAGCTTCTTGGCATGGATATTGGAAATGATTTTTTGGATATGACACCAAAAGCATAGTCAAAGCAAAATTACAGCAAAATAAAATGCTTCAGCACAGCAATGGAACAGAATGAAAAGGCAACCTATGGCATCAGATAAAATATTTGCAAATGATATATTTGATAGGAGGTTAATTTCCAAAATATATAAGTAACTCCTACAACTCAATAGTGAAATATCAAATAACTTAATTTTAAAATTGGACAAATGACTTGGACAGTTCAGTACCTTTTGCTTTTTGATTTTTTTCTTCCTTTTGAAACTTTTCTTTACAAAAATTTCTTGTAATCTCTTATCTTTTGACTCATTATTTTCTTCTATGTTTTTGCCTTTGGTTGTGAAATATTTTTCCACTTCACACCATTACTTTATTCATGACTCTTCATTGAACAGTCTCTTAACTCATGTTTTCATTTTTTTTTGCCTCTGTATATTGTGAAATTCATTTTTGTAACTAAATATTTGTTCAAATTTCTCACCATTTATTTATTTGCTTTTCAAAACTTTTGTTATATCTTGCCAAAATTACTCTTTCAGGGATCCCTGGGTGGCGCAGCTGTTTGGCACCTGCCTTTGGCCCAGGGCGCGATCCTGGAGACCCGGGATCGAATCCCACGTCAGGCTCCCGGTGCATGGAGCCTGCTTCTCCCTCTGCCTGTGTCTCTGCCTCTCTCTCTCTCTGTATGACTATCGTAAATAAATAAAAAAAAATCAAAATTACTCTTTCAGAAAAGTTGTACTAATCTATACATTTAAGAAAGCTGTGTTTTTTTTATAACAGAGTCATGTATTTCTATGTTATAGGCTTTGAAATTTCTGAAAACCAGAAGAGGCAGGCTGCAATGACTGTGAGAAAAGTCCCTAAACAAAAAGGTAAAGCTGCCTTTAACTACCACCACTCCACCAGCCCCACTTTCTCTATTTGTGAGACTGGGAAGCCATAAACTATGTGACTATATATACCCAGGTTTGTTTCCAGGCTGAAGTTCGCTTGGGGTGATGGGGATTGTCTGGGTTTCCAGGTATTCCTGATGACATGTGGCAAATGGTCTTAAAGACATAAGGCTTAGCCATTAGAAATGATGAATACCCACCATTTGCTTCGACGTGGATGGAACTGGAGGGTATTATGCTGAGTGAAGTAAGTCAATCGGAGAAGGACAATCATTATATGGTTTCACTCATACAGGGAATATAAAACATAGTGAAAGGGATTATAAGGGAAAGGAAAGAAAATGAGTGGGAAGAATCAGAGAGGGTGACAAAACATGAGAGACTCCTAACTCTGGGAAACGAACAAGGGGTAGTGGAAGGGGAGGTGGGTAGGGAGATGGGGTGACTGGGTGACAGGCACTGAGGTGGGCACTTGACAGGATGAGCACTGGGTGTTATACTATATGTTAGCAAATCGAACTCCAATTAAAAAATATATACAAAAAATTAAAAAATTAAATTAAAAAATAAATTCATTTTTAAAAAGACATAAGGCTTAGGAGTAAATAGTGTAAGGTAGTTATGTCTACAGATAGTTCTTGGTAGTGGAAAGGGAGGTGGGCGGGGGCTTGGGGTAACTGGGTGATGGGCACTGAGGGGGGCACTTGGTGGGATGAGCACTGAGTGTTATGCTATACGCTGGCAAATTGAGCTCCAATAAAAAAATTTTAAAAAAATTGGACTTCAGAGATCAATAAGCTTCCATAAAAAAATAAATAGTTCTTTAGGTACAGGAAAAATATAGAATTTCTGTTTCTTTTCATTTTAACGTGAGAGAGAGAGAAAGAAACTAAACTTTATTCACAATGTAGAGACAGATGGACAATAATAACTGTGTATATTTTTTAATAAGTGCTTTTGGAATATGTATACAATTTTCTTTGATTTGTTTGGGGGCATTTGCAAGACCAGGAGTTCCAAATCAGAATGGAGAACTTCAAACTGAACCAAGGCAGAAGATTCAGATATTCATTCTCTTTTTCTGAACCACAAACTAAAGTACTTAAAAAAGGAAACTAGGGGTATCTGGGTGGCTCAGTTGAGTGTCTGATTCTTGATTTTGGCTCAGGTCATGATCCTCAGGGTCATGAAATTGAGCCCCACTTTGGGCCCCATGCTGGGTGTGGAGCCTGCTTAAAATTCTTTCTTCCCCTCTGCCCCTCCTCTTCCAACCCTCCTCATGGGCACACACTGGCACTCTCACTTTCTAAAAAAAAAAGGAAAACACTTTAAGATATTTGAGAGACAGGAACAAAGCTAGAGGTATCACACTTCTTGATTCAAAATGTGAATATGAATCAAGAAGTGTGATTTGAATATGAAATGAAGCTTTATTTTCTCATTTTCATAAACTAGACAAAATTAAAATGCTTAGTTGAACAATGGGGAGTAACTACCCTTTGTTTACTTATGAGCATATTCAGTACCAGTCATTTTATATAAGTTCTTTAATTTCATTTTTATGGTACATCTTTAAGGTAGACATTATTAGACTCATTTTCCAGATGAAGAAACAAGATCTTTGAAGTGAAGTGATTATGAACTTAACTCATCTTTATTCCAAGTCCACTGTTCTTCCCTCATCATCTCAGGGCTCTGCTGATTCTCTATGCTGGGAGAAAACAGCTTGCTTTTTTGTCTCACCTCAATTACTGACAAATGCTTCTATTACTGACAGCCACTGTCATTTTTCTCCAGGGGTAAGTGATTTTAATGAGACCTCACTTTTCCCAGGCCCTTCTGCTTTCTCCGTAGGTTCTTTGGTTCAGAATGAGTCACCATACAAAATGATTAGATTCAAGTTGCCTGAAATTCCAGTGGCCACATAAAGCATCCTTAATTATTCCCAAATGAAGCTCCTTTTCACTAAAGAGCTATATGCCTGTGAATATCTGATTTCCAATTAAACAGTGTGCCTAGCTGGGCCCTCCCTGGCTAGACATACCTTCCTTTTAACTGCTTATTGTTTCTTGTCCTTGGGAGGCACTCACTGGTTCTTTCCCTTATTATGGAGATGTGATTATCTTCAGATAGAGAATTAAAGGCAATCACTCCTAACCTCTTGGGAGTGAAAATATGAGAGTCAGTGTTAGAAAGTTATCTGGGGTTAATGTCAGTGAAGATATGGTCTGTATGAGTAGGGGAACCCTGGGAGAGACTGTGCCCATTCCTTAGAGATATAAATAGAACAGAACTCCAGCCAGCTGGGGAGTCCTCAGGCTATAAAGAAGCTACTGGCCTAGTGGCCTGTTTCCTGGAGGTTCTTAACCCTTTAGCTTCTCTTACTATGATTCTCTCCACTGTCCTTACAACACTGACCTTCATGATGGGATGGGACTCCTTGATATCAGCATAGGTTCCCCCTAGCCTATCTGAGGCTGGCTGGTTTTTTCACTATGAATTCTTAAAGCAAAGGAACATCCATAAAACAACAAATCAGAAAACAGTCCGGCTCACTCATACCAAGCCTTTGCATCAGGTTCCTTTTCTACCCTGTGTAGTCAAAAGGCTATTCCCTTCAAGTCCTCTCTTATTCCAAGTGTTTAAGCACTTGTTCACCTGAACAGCTTTCCACCTTTAACAACAACTCTAAAGTTTTCAAAAAAACTCATTTAGTTTCAAATCTCCCAAAATTCCTTCATATCTTCTCTATTATTTCTATTTCTAATTTTCAAGACTCTCCTAGTCCAGGATTGTAATGACTGATATATATTGAGACTCAGGGCAACTATACATGTGGAAGCAATAGTCAAACTTAGGAATTCAATGGTTATATTATGTACATGGGAAGACAAAGAAGGGAATTCTTTTAGATACCCATTAAAGCCAGTTTCCTTAACCCTTCCAGTGACTGCTTCCTGGAAATGATGGGAGCATTGTTGTTAAGATTTCTCTAAGGCAGATATAATTGGATAGGTAATTATTTTAGTGTCCCCTTACAACCCCATCTATAATGCCATGGGACCTTATCAACTCAGTATACTACTCTGGAGAAGGGGAAGCCTGGGTGTAAGATAAACAAAGAGGACAAAGTCCTAGCTCCAATGAAGGCATTTTTACTTTATGCTTACCTTTTATACTGTCTTGATTTTAAGAATTGATGTATAACTTCTTGGAATTTGAATACTAATTCCTGATCTATCAACCTATTTCAGTCTGTCATCATGGAGCTCCCTAGAGCCATGAACACAGCTCCCATCTCCAGAAGCTATGGGACCATCTCAAAATCAAATGAATATCCTAAATTAACTAAAATCTTGAAAAAGAAGAGTAAAATTGAAGTAATCAGTCCTGATTTTAACACAAATTATATGGCTACAATAACCAAGACTGTGGTATTGGCAGAAGGATAGACATATTTTACCAGTGGAAGAGAACAGAGGAACTAAAAATAGGCCTACACAAATATGCCCAACTAATTTTTGATAAAGATGCAAAAGAAATATAGTGGATGAGGGTAACCTTTCCACCAAATGCTTCAGCTATAGACCAAAAATAAAAAACTTCAACCTAAACTCACACCCTACAAAAATTAACTCAAAATGGATAATGGGCTTAAATTTAAAGCTACAAAAATGTTTTTTAAAGGAGAAAATCTCCAGCATCTAGGGCTAGGCAAGAAGTTCTTAGACTTGACACCAAAAGCTTTGAACCATGAAATGAAAAATTGATACAATGGACCTCATTAAAATAGACAGTTTTGCTCTATGAAAGACCATGTGAAGAGGATAAAAAGACAAGCCACAGACTAGGAAAAAATATTTGCAAACCATGTATCTGACAGAACACTACTATCTAGAATGTATAAAGAACTCTAAAAACTCAGCAATAAAAAAACTGTATGATCCAATTAGAAACAGGGCAAAAGACAGATATTTTACTGAGAGGATTATATGAATGGCAGTTAAACACATGAAAAGATGTTCAACATTTTTAATCAGTGGAGAAATGCAAATAAAAACCACAGTGAGATATCAGTACATACCTATTAAAAAGACTAAAATAAAAAATGGTGACAACATGGAATGCTGACAAGGGAGTAGAGGAACCAAATCATTTATACCTTGCTAGTGAGAATGTTAAATGGTACAGCCACTCTGGAAAATAGTATTGTGGTTTCTTAAGCCACAAAACATACAACTACCATATAACCCAGCAATTATACTCCTGGGCAGTTTTCCCAGAAAAATGAAAACTTACTTTCACACATACATCAAGAAAACCCTCTATATGTTAACTAACTTGAATTTAAGTGAAATCTTGGAGAAAAATAAAAACTCCAAACAAATGTTTATAGCAGCTTTGTTCATAATAGCCCAAACTGGAAACATGTCAGATATCTTTCAGTGAGTGAGTAATTATGGTCTATCCATACCATGGAATATTACTCATGAATAAAAAGGAGCCAACTATTGGTACATTCGGCAACCTGGGTGAATCTCCAAGGAATTTTGCTGAATAGGAAAAGTCAATCCCCAAAGATTATATATATGGTATGACTCCATTTATATAACATTCTTGAAATGATGTCATTTAGTAATGTGGAACAGATTAGTGATTGCCAGTGGTTAAAAAAGGTCAGGAGAAAAGTAAATGTGGTTATGGAAGAATAACAAGAATGATTTTGTGATATAGAAATGTTCTATCTCTTGTCTGTGTCCTATAACAATGTTAATAATCTGCTTGTAATATTGTACTACAGTTTTGCAAAATATTATCATTGAAGAAACTGAGTAAAGGCTACAAAGCATATCTCTATTATTTCGTACAACTGCATGTAAATCTACAATACTCACAAAATAAAAAGCTTAATTGAGAAATTAAAATGACCACTTCCCAAATTTTCTCCCTAATATTTTCATATCATTTGTTGGTACCCA